CAAGGTCTACTGGCACTGCTGGCATTGGGGACCTCAGGGCACCCCACAGCTCCGCTGTGCCGCTTCCCCACTCCTCTCTGCCTCATCAGGGCCCATCCCTGCCATGGGCATCAGGCCCATGCCCAGGGCACTCACCCCACAGGAGCAGTGCCACCTTCTTGGCATTTCAGTGACCCCAGCCATGTGGACTGGCTGTCACTTGCTGCTGTGCCCACTGCTCCCCTGGCTGGCACTTCTTTGGATGAAGAGCTGGTTACTATCTGGACTTGACATGGTATTGCACGTGGTAGGAATATTACACTTGCTAGTGGACACACCACAAAGAAGGCTAATTTCTTCCACCATTTACCATTCCATTACCATTACGATGACTTCCATTACCATTTTCCAGGTGAACAAGTTGTCCCACCAATTGGATTCTCCAAACAAGGGGGTCCATTTTTGTGTTCCAACATAGGTTAATTTTCTAATATTTTGAGTAATGTTTTTAGTTACATGACGTTGGTCATCAATCTCTAGGCAGCATTCTGAAGTATTAAATTTGCCGTAGATCCTTCCTTCCTCTGCAAGGAGGTAGTCCACTGCCAATTGGATCTGATAAATTACTGATCGTGTTTGTTGTCACTGCTGGTTTAAGAGATCAATCAATCAGAGTTGTTTGATTGGACATTATTTCAAGTACTGTTTGTAAATGGATGATTCAATTGAGCATATATACTGGGCTTCTGTACCCCCAGGATCCATCTTGTATCCTGTACCCAAGTATCTGGGCCATAAGTATCAATAATCTTTTGTGGGGTCCAAATTTCATTGTTCCAATTTTGCGTTCCACCAAATAAATTCCTTTTCTTTCTGGCCAGATCATCATGTACTGGGACTCCCAAGTTTGATTTCGCATCCTTAGGCAGTAAGAAAAAGGATGTTTTTATTGCTCCAATTGTGTAACTCTAGTCCACCCTCCCATTAAACTTCACATACGCCCTGTTACCACAGATCCAAAATAAATTTTTAGGTGCATCCCAGAAATTAGAATCTTGTTTTGTTGTATGTTTCCAATATTTGGATATGGTTTCTATTGTCCAGAATGGGTTAAAATAATCTCCTAAGTATTCAAACATTTTTTCTTTTTCACTGTATACACATCTTCTTTCAGTTTTTTTCTATCGACCAAATATGAATGGGGGGTTTCTGGGATCCACCTGGTGTGTGTGTCATTTGCTGCTAGATATCTTTTACGTGGCGTTTCTCCTATTTCGATAGTATACATTTTCCCTTTTCTTGATAAACACTCTTCCCCTATTATTGTTGATTTAACTTCCACTCTCCTTCCCTTCTTTTGGGAGCTACCATGCTTTGTCTTGACATAATATATGGGGAGATATCGCGAGGTCTCAAGATATCGCAAGGTCTCAAGCTATCGCGATGTTACGCTTAGGTGGAACCCCTCCCCTTTTACTGTTAACTGACCGTTACCCTCTGTTATAAAAGACCCTCCCTATCCATTAATAAAGGCCAGTTACTGTCCACCACATTGGTGTATGCATGTGCTTGGCCCGTGTGGCAGAGGCGCCGCCACTGAACCGTCCTCAACCCGGGACACCACGCCCCAAGCGGCGGCAACAGTAATCCATTTTAAAATGTCTAGGGAACCTAAACTGATACCATCCCATGGCCAAATCTCACTTAAGTGTGTCCCCCCCAACAATCAGTCAAATTAAATTCTTTTGAAATCTTTTCCACCATATCGATGAAAAGATTCTTACCATATATTTGAACCTCTCTATCCCTTTGTCTTTTCAATTGCATTTCATTCTCTTTGAATGTATCCTCTAAGTTTGTTTCACTTTCTTGTTCAAAACATACCCATCTTTCTTTCATAGGGCACTCTCCTGACATCCTCTGGCTTGGATTTGCAATATTTTGAGCTAGAAAATATATTTTATTATCTTCTTTACAGGTTGTTAACTGGGTGTGATTAATACATTTAGGATTTATGTTTGTGTGTACTCTGATAAATACACTTACTGTATCTCCTCTATACAAGGGATAGTAACACTTCTCACAAGTGTTTCTCCACTTCCTCCCAAGTGGATGAGTAGTAGCATTGCTACGAGCAGGAGTCTGGTACAGGCTGGGCTCCTCACCTCTCAAACCACAGGGGTTTTCTTGGTGCCCAGAGAGTATTTCCTGCAGGTAGTTCCCAATCCAGTCTTACCTCTCACCTCTGGTTTTCCTTTCTTCTGGAGACATTCTGTCATGACCCTTATCGTACTGACTCCCTTCCCTCAATTTGGTCCCGATTCGGGGTGCAAGGAGAGTGCTCTATGGAGCAGTACTGGAAAGTGAGATGTTATTTTGATTGTCAATTCTTAGCTAAACAAAACTTAAATTTATACTATAACTATAACAAACATTAACAAACTTTAAAGACATAAGGTTAACAATGTAGATGTTTCCTGTGGCAGGGTTGTGTTCAGGGTTGCACTTCTTTCGGTGTTTTCCTCAGGACCAATTTCAAGTCTTTATTGTCTCTGCTGCCTATAGCCCATTTGCTTGTCTCAGCTGGGGGTGGTACTGGACCCTTCACTCGACTTGCATGAGTCCGCCCCCACTCCATTGTTCTTACTGCAGTGTTTGTTGTAAGCAGGACCTGGAAGGGGCCTTCAAAGCGTGCAGTTAGTGGAGGGTTCTTCCATGATTTAATCAATACCCAGTCTTCTGGATTAATACCATGTATTCTACAGTTCAGTGGGGAAGTTTGGGGAAGGTAGCCCTTTTTCCTTAATTCTTCTAGGGTTGTTGTTACTGTTTCTATATATTTTTGCATTGTCATCCCCCCCTCTAGATGTTCCCCAATACTGTATGGGGTAAGCAAGAAAGGCAGCCCAAACAACATTTTGTAAGGAGAGACCCCTAGATCTGTTCTGGGTCTCGTTCTTATTTGTAATAGGGCTAGTGGTAAACATTTGACCCAATTCCGTTGGGTTTCTATGACCAATTTTGTTAAAATATTTTTTAATGTTTGATTCACCCTCTCGACCCTCCCAGAACTCTGAGGGTGCCAAGGGGTGTGCAACTCCCACTTTATTCCCAGGGCTCTTACGACTTGTTGCAGCACACTGTGGTTGTAAAGTGGGGGCCATGGTCTGAATCAATAATATTTACTAGCCCGTATCTTGGAGTAATTTCTTCCAAGAGAACTTTTGTCACAGTTTGGGCTGTCTCCCTTCTCATGGGGAATGCTTCAACCCAATGGGTTAGATGGTCAACTCTGACCAATAGGTGTTTATACCCTTGGGCTGGAGTTAATTCAGTAAAATCAACCTGAGTACTCTGGATAGGTCTTATGGCTAATTTCCTCCATCCCGGAGTGGTTTTTTGCATCACATTTATGTTGCCTTTTTGACAGGTTTAAGATTCTCCTGTGATGGATCTGGCTATTTCATATATTCCTATGCCCATGTAAAATTTCAGTAAATGATCACATATTCCTTGTATTCCCCAGCGAGTTAATCGGTGTATCTCTTCCATCTTTCCTGGTTATTATTTGGTTGAATATTTGTCACCCATCTGGGGTCTACCACTTTCCATCCTCTGTTTTTACCCCTCCCATTTTCTCTATTTCTTTTAGCTCATTGTCATAGAAAATTGGTACCCCCTCTTCCCTTATTATCCCCTGGTCTTCTTTTACCGTTAGGACTATGACTGGATCCCCCGTTTCTAAGGCTGCTTCTTTAGCCACCAGGTCTGCTAATTTCTTTCATTGGATTTCAGGGGTATCCTCTTTTTAGTGGCCTTTAATATGAACTCTGGCAATTTCTTTTGGTCCTCTGAGGGATTTGAGTACTTCCCTGATCAGACTTTCATACGCCAGATTTTCCCTTTTGAGTTAAGGTATCCCCTCTCTTGCCAGATTTTTCCAAAGGTATCAGCTATCCCAAAGGCGTATTGAGAATCTGTGTAGATTGTCCCTATATTGTCTGCTAATAAACCTAAACCTCTCTTTAGGGTATACATCTCTCAACTTTGTGCAGACCAATTTGAGGGTAATTTCCCTTTTTATTTGATTTCCCCTGCTTCAATAATGGCATATCCTGATGCCCTTTTTCCCATTACAATTTGTAAGGATCCATCTATATACAGGACCCTTCCATGTGGTAAAGGGTCTTCTTATAGGTCTTCTCTTACTTTTGTTTGTATGTCAGTTAGCTCTATACAATTATCCTCTAAATTTTCCATTGGTTCCCCACTTAAGAATTGAGCAGGATTTAAACATTTTGAGGTGACAATCTCTAGATTCTCCATATTCATTAGGGTTATTTCATACCATAGGAACAGCTGTCTGTTAGCCACTGTGAAGATTTTTGGCTTAACACTGTCCTCAAGTCATGGGGTGTGTGTACTCAAATCCTCCCATTGAATGTAAGATTTAGAGTGTCTTCTAATAAGGTAGCTGTGGCTACCACAGCTTGAATACAGGCTGTCCACCTGTATTCAAGCTGTGGCAGCAACCGGATCAAATAATTTTGCAACTGGATCAAATAATTTTGACAGAAAAGCCACCAGCTTCCTGCTTCCCCCCCCAGTCTTGAGTTATTACTCCATATGCTATCCCTTCATTAACACTAACAAACGGATCAAATAGTTTTCTTAAATTAGACAGACTCAAAACTACGGCAGAGTCTCCACAGGCCCGAGGTGGGAGCCCGAGTGCTGCGGGCAAGGACGGCGTGAGGGAGCCGGGCCTCGCTCAGCCGGCGCTGCCCCAGGAACGTCTCATCCTGCAGGAGCTCGGCAGCCTCTGCCGGTGCCGGCCCCGGGGCTGTCGAGGGGCGCGGCCGGAGGGGCCGGGGGGCAGCGGGTGAGAGGGGCCGGGATGGAGGGACCGGGACCCCCCTGGGGAGCCCCGAGCGTGGAGGGAGCGAAACGGCGGAGGGGAGACCCCGGGACAGGGGGGAGCAGAGACCCTGCGGTGGGGTCTGCGGAAAGGAGGGACCGCAATGGTGGTCCCGGAGCACCGGGAAGGGGCCCAGCTGCCATCGCGCTGCGAGTGCCGGGACGGTCACGGGGTGTCCAAACCGACTGTGGCAGCGTGTCCGAAGCCACTGTCGCGATGTGTCGGGACCGAGCGTTGCCAGGGTAAGGCCCCCCCAGCTGCGGGAAGTGGAGGGGTACCCTGGAAGGTACAGAGCAGACCCTGTCTATTCCCTGTGCCCTGTGCAGGTGAGGAGGGCAGGGATGAAGCAGCTCTGGGGACACCTGGAATCCAGACAGGGTCATTCCCCACAGCCCCACCATGGCAGCAGGGCACAGCCACTGCTCGATATTTCCACACTTTTCCCTCTTGTCTGGCAGCTGAGCCAGAACCCTGTGGCAGCCACTCTCTGGTCACAGAGAGCAGCAAGCACAACTTTCCCAGGCCTTGTCCTGGTGAAGGCTGTGAGAAGATCAGTGAAAAGAATGAGAAACAATTCTTATCTTCACTTGCTGCACCCATTGTTGTGAACATGTGAAATGTGTTATGGAGATTTGTTTCCCAGTGGGTGATTTCTTAATTGGCCACTGGTGATGGTGTTTTAATTCCAAGGACCAATTAGGTTAAAGCTGTATAGGACTGTGTCCAAGGGCAATGAGTTTCTTAATAACTACAGTACAGTAAAGCGATTGATCAGCCTTCTGGAATCATGGAGTCAGTGCTAATTATTAATTGGGAGGGACCCATGCAACAACAGAACTCAAACATTCTTTCTGGGAGGTTCCAAAAGGCTGCTGGTTTTGTTCAAGAAGGAGGTCCAGGTCAGGTTGTTGAGCAGATCAGTGTGGGATTTGCAGTAGTTCTGGATTTCACTCAGTCCCTTGGGAAAAGGGACAAGATAATCAACTGCTGTATTTCTAGGCTGGTTCCCCCCCAGCTGCCCCTGCAGGGGTGGTTTCCAGCCAGCCCTGCTCTGAAAACCATCAAAGGCCCTCTCAGAGCCACTGCTTGGGCTCCCTTTGGGCTTGTGCTTCTTGCAGGGCTGAGCAAACCACAGGCAGGGCCTTTTTCCCCCACAGAATTCTCACCTCTGCAGCAGCTCTAAAGCTGCCAGAATCAAAGCCAAGGGGGCAGGGGGGACCCTCAGGTGCTGGCTGCCACCTGGGGCTGGGCAGAGCAGGGCTGGGCAATGGCCATCCCTGTGCAGTGGGGCTGGGCCATGGCTGGGCCCCACCCTTGGATGGCCACTGGCTTCAAGGAGCAGGAGTTTGGGAGCTCCTTCCTGCCCTGGGCTCCATTCCCAAGCTCCTCTTGCCGGCTCAGATCCTGCAGGGGATGAGCAAAAATGGAGAAGTCTGGACCTGCCTGGAGTTGCCATGCCCCAGGACAGGACCCCTTGGCCTGGGACAGGATCCCCACAGGACAGAACACCCCTCCTTCGTGTGACACTCAGCACAAACGGCCTCTTCCTTCTGCTACAGGAGGGAGAAAGTGAAAGTGTTGGGGGGCAAAGCCGGACACCCCCATGCCCCGCAGCCTCCCCAGCCCTCCCTACAGACCCCTCACCCTTGCTTGCCCTACCCTGGGCTTCCCCCAAGCCATTCCCTGCTCAGTTGATTCCCAGAATCTTCAAGGAACAAACTGGGGGGTTGTGAAATTGAGGGATCAAAGGAAGGAAATTGTGACCGTGTTCACAGGGGTTCTTGGATGAGGGAAGAGACAAGAATGTTGACTCCATGTTCAGAAGGCTTGATTTATTATTTTATGATATATATATTACATTGTAACTATACTAAAAAGAAAAAGAAGGACAGGTTTTCTCAGAAGCTTGCTAAGCTAAGAATAGAAAAAAAAATAATGATAACAAAGGCAGCTCTCTCAGATTCTGTCCGAGATAGCTCGGTCCTTGATTGGCCATTAATTATACACATCCAAGATGGGCCAATCACTGGTGGACCTATTGCATTCCACAGCAGCAGACAACCACTGTTTACATTCCATCTCCGAGGCCTCTTAGCTTCTTAGAAGGAAAAATCCTAAAGAAAGGATTTTTAGTGAAAAGATGTCTGTGACAGGAAATAGAAATGAAGAATGGGAAAAGCCCCTGGGAGCTGGGGGCACACAGACCCAGAACACCTTGGAATCTCCCTGGGGTGACCCCCAGGCCATTGGCATACTTTGGGGGCTGTGCTGGGCTGTGGGTCACCCCAAAATCTGAGGCACTCAGGGAAGGGGCTCCAACCCACGCACGCACCAAGCCACTGCTCATCCCTGGCACCTCCATTCCCCTGGGAACCCAACCATGGGACCCCCATTCCTTCAGTCCCCATGTCCCAGGGACCCCCATCCCAGCACTGACATTCCCCAGGATCTCCATGGCCCAGGACCCTCATTTCCAAGGAACCCTCTCCCATTCATTCCATCCCCTGAAATCCCCCTTCCCCCAGAACCTTGATTCTTCCAGGACCCCTCATGCCCATGGGATGCCCCATTCCCCTGGTACCCTCATCCCTACGAAAACCATCCCCTGACCCCAAATCCCTGGAGCTCACATTGTTCTGGGACTCCCATCCCTGAGTTCCTCCAGCCCTGGGCATCCCCATTCCCATGGCAGCTCCATCCCTGGTGACTCCCCCTCCTCAGGACCCCCATTTTGAGGGACCCCATGCTGGGGCTCCCCATTCCCCTGGAACCCATCCCTGGGGTTCCCCATTCCTCATTCCCCTGGAAACCGATCCCTGGCTCTCCAAACACCCCGTGCCCCTCACTCCTGGGAACCCTATGTCCCACCTTGTCCCACCCAGCCTGTCCCCACCCAGCCCACAGCTTGTCCCCAGCTTGTGGCCACCCTGCCCCCACCAGGTGCCACCTACACATGAGGGAGAGACCTGACCTTGCTTCCTTCCCCTTTGGCCAAAGAGCCACCACCTAGGGGAGAGCCACCCCCGTCAGCGAGTGACAGCCAGCGCACATGGCTGGGGACATTGGGATGGCCAGGAAGGTGGCGCTGCTCCTGTGGGGTGAGTGCCCTGGGCACAGGCCTGACACCCTGGGGATTGACTCCAGTGAGGCAGAGACCAGTGGGGAGGGGGCACAGGGGGGTTGCGGGGTCCCCTGAGGTCCCCAGTGCCAGTAGGGCATGAATTGGTGTGACCAGAGTTGTGGGGTGGTTATGGGGACAGGAACAGGGGATCTGGGGTGTGGGAACAGGGACAAGGGATGGAGATGTGGGGGACAAGGATTTGACAAAAGGAACAGGAACCTTGGGGCTTGGGCAGCTGTGGGGACAGGGACAGGGGATCAGGGATGCAGAAACAGGGACAAGGGCCACATACCATGTGGATGGGCCATGGGGACAGGTGCCATTGAAATGGGATCATGGGCACAGGGCCATGGTTGTGGCCATGGGGACATGTGCTGTAGAGCTGGTGCAAGTGACCTGTGCAAACGTGGGATGTCCACAGTGTGCCCATTTCTTGCATCAGCCCATGGTGACCAAGATGTCTCTGTGCTCAAGATGTCCATGCCACACCAGTGTTCCCGTGGGGACAGTTTGGGGACAGCCATCTCACCTCGTCCCCGAGGTTGTGCTGCCCCGGCAGTGACAACCCCATCCAGCCCTGTCCCTTCTCCCTTCCAGCCCAGACCCTCGGCCTCGCTGGTGAGTCCTCGGGGGATGCCATGGCCCCACCCCGCTGTCCCCAGCACCACGCTGGCCCTGGCAGGCTGGTGTCCCCTGTCACCCGCAGGTGTCCAGACCACCCAACTCCTGGTGGACACCCCCTGGAGGCCGGCGGTGCTGTGGAACTGGGTGACAACTGACCTGCCAGGGCTCGGGGACCACTGGTGCCACCACCTGGTACAAGGACAGGCAGCACTGGGGGCAGGTGGGACGTGACCACCTCAACGTCACCGAGAGTGGCACCTACACATGTGACAGACCCAGCGGACTCAGCCCCCGCATGACAGTCTTAAATGGTGAGGGCGGATCTTAAATGATCAGGGTGGTCCCTTGTAGGTCTGGCTGGGCTCCACTCTGTGGGTGGCCTCACACCCCTCGTGTGGCGAGAGCCTGTCCCCTGCACACAGGGACATCCCAGAACACCCCAGTGCATCCCAGTGTGATGGGACCACTGTGGCAACACCTGTGCCACAGGGTTGCTCCTGGTGTCTCTGGGATCCTCTTGTGCAATGGAGACTCCACCCAGATGTCCCTGGTGCCATGGGGACCCACCTTGGACTTGTCTCGAGCCCCTTTGTGTGATGGGATCCTCCTGTCCCACAGATGAGCTGGTGCTGCAGGTGCTAGCACAGGCGCTGCTGGAGGGGGACACGGTGACGCTGTGCTGCTGGGGCCAGCAGGACAGCCCGGCCACCAAGGTGCAATTTTATCAGGATGTGAAGAATCTGGAGGGGTCCCCCAGGGGAACCAAGCTCTCCATCTCCTCGCTGCGGCTGCACCACAGCGATCGCTACCGTTGCAAAGACTTGGTGGGCTCAAGAATGTCACAGTCAGCAGCAGTGACAGTGACAGTGCAGGGTGAGCACCCCCATGGCTGGAACTCCAATCTTCTGACTCCTCCAAAGCCACTTCTCAATGATCTCAGAGTGACAGTCCTCACCTCCCCTCTCCTTCCCAGAGCTCTTCATGGTGCCAGAGCTGGAGGGTCCCTCCAAGCCCACCGAGGGGTCCCCCCTGACTCTCAGCTGCCTCAGCACCCCCAGCCCCCTGCAGCCACGAGCCCCCCTCCTGCACGTGTTCTACTGGGACAGGCAGGTGGTGGGGGGCCCACAGGGGTCCCCGCAGCTGCTGGTGCCCGCCCTGGGGGTCTCCCACTCGGTGAATTACAGCTGCCAGGTGCGCTCCGAGGTGGGGGCCGTGCAGAAAAGCAGCACCCGGCTCCGCATCACGGTGTGCAGTGACTGTGGGGATGGGCACGGGGAGCCCCCACAGCCTCCTTGGGTCCCTTGCAGGGTACCTCCATGTCCCCAAGAAATCTTTCCAAGGTCTTTCCATCACTCTTCTTGTCCCCTCGCCCCTCCGTGGTGTGACCCCATCCCTGACATCCCCCATCACACCCATCCCCCCATCCCTTTTCCCCCCACACTTGCTGCCAGCCCCTCCCTGTGGCCTCAGCCCTGTCTCTGTCCCTGCAGTGCCCGTGGCCAATGCCACCATCACACCCAGTCCTCTGTCACACCAGGTGTGTGCACGTGACCCCAGCCCACTGCTACTCAGTGCAGGTGGGCTCAGCTGCTGTCACCTTCACCTGGCTGCACAACGGGAAGGAGGTGGCCCAGGGTCCCCTCCTGGAGTTTGGGGACATGATGTGGGACATTCAGGCACCTACCAGTGCATGGCCACCAACCAGCTGGGACAGGACGGGCACCGCGTGTTCTGGGCACTCAGCCCTGAGCTGGCCCTGCAGATGTCACCTGGCTCACCCTGGGTCACAGGTGAAGTCACATGGGGTCACCGGGATGTTCAGGACCCCCGGGGTTCAGGGTGACCCCAATGTGTCCCTTCTGTCCCCAGCAGTGTCTGTGAATGTCAGCAGGACCCTCCTGTTCCTGCTCCTGCTCCTGGCTGTCATCGGGGGCTGTCACTGCTAGCACCGCCAGGGTGGGTGACAATGGGAGGGCACGAGGTCCTACAGGACCTGGGGGGAAGCCCCACACACTGGGGGGGCACTTGGGGAATCACCCAAAGCCCCTGACCTGGAGGAAGCTGAGCCCCCCTTGACCTTTGCTTTGGGTGCTCACAGGGTTGGGGACATTTTGAGGGTCCTGGGCTGTCCTAGGAGGGGCCCTGAGGAATATTGGGGTGACACTGGGATTTCCTGGGTGTTTTTAGGGAGATGTTGGAGAGTTGTGCAGGGATGTTGAGAGCTCTGCAGGGATCCTGGAGCAGTTGGAGGCTTCCCTGCATTTCATTCTTGGTGTTCTTGGTGGCTTGAGAGGTGCTCAGGGGCTGTGTGAAGAATCAGGGTCCCAAGGCAGTTCAGGGGTCCTGGGGAGGGGGTTGGAGTACCTGGGTGGCTCAGGTGTTCTGGGGCTCCTCAGGGGTGGTTTGGGGTGCAGGGGCCTGGGAGGCCAGTAGAAATCAGTGTCTGGTGGGAGCTGAGGGGTCCAGTGGGCATTTAAAGGTCCCAGGTGGGGTTGGGGCCCAGGGCACCCCATGATCACCCCATCCTCTTCTTCTTGCAGCTGCCAGGAAATCCCAGGACAGGTGAGTGGGGAGCTCCAGCCATGGCTCTCCTTGACCCCCTCCCCAGACACCCCTCAGACCCCCCCTTATCCCCACAGGGGCCCCCTAGAACCCCCTTATCCCCTGGAGGAGGGGGAGGGGCTGGACACCGAGGGGGCAGGGGGTGAGTATGGGGGATGGGTGGGGACACAGATATGTCACCCATGGGTGTCACCCCCAGCCAGGTGTCCCTTACTGTCCCCCCGCCAAGGACCCCCAGGTGACCCAGGCAGAGCTGCCAGGACCACATGGGTGACTGCAGGACACCAGTGACATCCATGGGAAGGTGCTGTGACACTGGGGGACACTGCCTGGGGTGATGACCACGAGTCAGGGGGGGCTGCACAGGGCACCCAGTGCTCCCCTTTCCCCTTCCCAGTGCATCCAGTACACCCATGGCCCCCCAGGCTCCACCCACTGCCAGGGGGCAGAGGAAGAATTTCCTTCTTATTTGGTCCAAAATGCAGCTTTTTGGGTTAAACTGGCAGAGATGGTGTTTGTTCCACTTTGTCAGGCTTCAGGAATGGGATTCTCCAGTTCAGGGCTGTCACTAAAAACCAGGGGCTGCTGCCCTTCACCCTCCCGGGTGGAGGCACAAAGATCCCAAAGGGCTGACAGAAGAACAATTTCCTGAAACAGCAACCAGAGAGAATAAAACCAACAGCAACAGCAACAAGGTTCAGAGTCCAAATAGTCACACAAGGAACGATTACCAGGGAAAGTTCCCAATAAGGAACAAACCCCAGACGCTGTCCCCAGCACATTTCCTCCACCAGAGGAACCTGGCAGGGCCCTGGACCTTCCTTGCTCTGATGGCCAAAGCAGCCTTCAGGAGGCTCTGGATTCTTTTGTCCCCTGTCCCAAACCCCTCCTTTGCTGTGTTCCTTACACGAGGATGTCACAAAGGCCCTGTAAGGGTTCCAGAGCCTCCCCCTTTTCCAGGGCAGTCAGGATCAGGCCATGGCACAGGGTGGGGTAATCCCGACTCCCTGCTGGGCTAATTTGCCCCCGAGCAGGCAGCACAGGCCAGATAGCTCAATCCTTCCCAGAGACAGAGTGCCTGAGTACCCAGGCCACTCTCAGCCATTGGCTACTTTAGCAAGCTTATTGGATATCAGCTTTTTAGTGATTATCAGCTCTTTTGTGATTCCAGCTCTTTGCTTGCTAAGGTGTCTTGCAGGCTAGTCAGGAAGCAAGACGCTTGCGAGAGAGGGGAAGAAAACATCCTGGGGTTCCAAAGCGATGGTTTTATTGAGGGGTCTGTGAAGGGTTCCAGAGACGGCTCTTATAACCAGAATGGGCAAAACCAGCCCCTTTCATAGGGTATAAGGGGATCCAAACTTGTCCAATAGTAGGGGTTAGGGGAAAGTGACCTATGGGGGTACAGAGATAAGCTGGGGTCCGAAAGGCGGAAGACAGGATCTTCTTTTGCTATTTCATCATGACTTAGCACTGCTTATGGTTGAGCCTCGGCCCTCCATGGGGCCCTAGCCAGCTCAGAGCCTGCTACAGTGGGGGTCAGAGACAGGAAAAGTTTGATGTCTGGAGACATTTTGGAACACCTGTGTGTGGCAGGGGTGGGTCAGGCCTTGCTTTTGGTAAAACAGGGCACCATCTGTCTGTCATTGTGTCAGCCATGGTACATTGGGGACAGTGTAACACTCTGCCAAAGCCAGCTCCTGAGGGGCCAGGTGACCAGAAGTTGCACCTGGGGAGAAGGGCCTTGGTGGCCCAACTGGCTTAAAAGGCAGTGCATGAGGTGACCAAGTCCCTGACCCTGTCTTCCATTGGGGTGTCTGTCCCATGCACACTGGAATCCAGGAGTTGGCAACTCATTCAAATGAGAAATATCTACCAAGGAATATGGGAATGTTCCTGGAGTAGAAAGAACACCCATGTCTTGTTTTAAGACTTGTTTTAATTTCAAAGATCATGGGGATTTCAGGCAGAACGGTAGGAAAAGGAATAACATCTCCTTACTAGGAAATTTATGAGCCAGAACAGAAGAAACAACACAAACCCAGAACTTTCCCTCCCGCTCAGCGCTGTTGGTTTTTGTGGCAGTTATAACCGCGGCCAGCAGGGGGCGCTGCAGGGAGCACTCCCGGCCAGCAGGGGGCGCCCCGCTCCAGCTCCATCCCCTCAGGGGCCATGGCGGCCTCGGGTGGGAGGGAGGAGGGCAAATCGCTCCTTTTGCAAACTCACGGCCACCAATCGGTCCCGGCACCACCACCGGCAGCGGGCAGAAGCCGCCAAGGCAGCAGGTTGGATCCCAGTGCCCAGCGGCAGCGTAGCAGTGTCCCGGGGCCAGGCACACGCCCTGCACAACACCCGTGATCGCTCTCCATGATCCCGAATGGAAGGAAGGCAACGCCTGACCCCAGGCAGGTCTTGGGTCCACAGCAGCACCTCTGGTGGCTTTACACCACAATTCCTGCAAACCCTCAGCCTTTCACACAGGTGAGGAGGGCAGGGATGGAGCAGCTTTGGGGACACCTGGAATCCAGACAGGGTCACTCCCCACAGCCCCACCACAGCTGTGGGCAGAGCCACTGCTCGGTATTTCCACACTTTTCTCTCTTATCTGTCTTGAGGTCACAATCTGAACCCAAACATTCTTTTCCTGAGGCTCCAGAAGGCTGCAGGTTTTATTCAAGAAGGAGCATCCCAGGCAGGTTGTTGAGCAGAGTGTTGTTGTCTTGGCAGTAGTTCTGGGGCTCTCTCAGTCCCTTACCAATAGGAACAAATGATCAATTGCTACATTTCTGAACTGGTTCCCCCCAGCTGCCCCTGCAGGGGCGGTTTCCAGCCAGCCCTGCCCTGAAAACCACCAAAGGCCCTCTCAGAGCCACTACTTCGGCTCTCATCAGGGTTTGTGCTTCTTACAGGTCTGAGCAAACCACAGCCAGGCCTATTCCCCCCACAGAATTGTCAGCTCTGCAGCAGCTTCATACACCAACAGCCCCTCAGAATCTTTCTGGGTTGACCCCAGGCTGCCGGCACATTCTGGGGTCTGTGCTGGGCCCTGGGTCACCCCAAAATCTGAGGCATCCAGGGAAGGAGCGGAGACCCACTGGCCCACCCAGTCACTGCCCATCCCTGAGACCTCCATTCTCCTGGAAATCAAATCATGGGATCCTCATTCCTTATGTCTCCCCCTCTGTGGAACTCCTATCCCAATACTTACATTCCCCAGGATCTCCATGGCCCAGGACCCCATTCCCAAGGAACCCTCTCTTGTTCATTCCATCTCCTGCAATCCTCCTTCCCCCAGGACCTTGATTCTTCCAGGACCCCCATTCCCAAGGGAACCTCCATTCCCCCAGCATCCCCATTCCATGACCCCAAATCCCTGGAGCCCACATTCCCCTAGGACTCCCATCCCTCAGTCCCCTCAGCCCTGGGCCCCCACATTCCCATGGCACACCCATCCCCAGTGACATCCCTTCTTCAGGACCCCAATTCCCCAGGGACACCATTCCCCTGACACCCCTCCCTGTGTCCCCAAACCCCCTGAGCCCCCCCCACTCCTGGGAACCCCATGTACCACCATGTCCCACCCACCCTTTTCCCTATCCTGTCCCCACCCTGCCCACAGCCTGTCCCCAGCGTGAGGCCACCCTGCCCCCACCAGGTGCCAGCTACAAATGAGAGTGAGACGTGACCTTGCTTCCTTCCCCTTTGGCCAAAGAGCCACCACCCAGGGGACAGCCACCCCGGCACTGAGTGACAGCCAGTGCACATGGCTGGGGACACCGGGATGGCCGGGAAGGTGGCGCTGCTCCTGTGGGGTGAGTGCCCCGGGCACGGGCCTGACACCCCGGGGATGGGGAGGGGAGGGGGCACAGGGGGGCTGCAGGGTCCCCTGAGTCCCCAATGCCAGCAGTACCAGTCCACATTATCCACAGTGGATATTGGTGTGACTGGGGATGTAGGGTGGCTTTGGGGAAAGAATAGGAGCAGGAGTTTGGGGATGGGGATGTGGGGACAGGAATGTGGGGACTGGCACCTTTGGGCTCAGGTAGCTCTGGGGATGGGGACAAGGGAACTTGGATGCAGGGACAGAAGGGGACAAGAACCGTGAGGATGTGGCCATGGGGATGGGATCATGGGGATGGGTTCAGGAGCTGGTGGGGGTGACCTGGGCCAGCATGGGCTGTGTCTGTGGTGTCCTTGTGCCCGGGATGTCCCCAGTGTCCCCATGTTCTGTCTCAGCCCAGGGTAGCCTCAGTGTCCCTGTTCCCAAGGTGTGTGTGCCACAGGGATGTGGTGCATGGGTGGCTGTGACACAGACATGTCCCCCTGCCTCTCCAAATCTTTTGGAACCACCCAGATACACTTTCCCACAAGAACTGCTGTCCCCACGGGGACAGTTTTGGGACAGGCCCCACACCCTGTACCCTGGTGCCTCTGTACCTGCAGTGACACCTCCACCCAGCCCTGTCCCTTCTCCCTTCCAGCCCAGACCCTCGGCCTCACTGGTGAGTCCTCAGGGGATGCCATGTCCCCACCCCGCTGTCCCCATCCTGCTGTGGCCCTGGCAGACTGGTGTCCCCTGTCACCCACAGGCACCCAGACCACCCAGCTCCTGGTGGAGCCCCCCTGGAGGCTGGTGGTGCTGTGGGACCGGGTGACACTGACCTGCCAGGGCTCGGGGACCGCCAGTGACACCACCTGGTACAAGGATGGGCAGCACTGGGGGCAGGGTGGCGCCCATTTCACTGTCACCAAGAGTGGCACCCACACAGGTGTGATAGACCCTCCGTGACCGTCTTAGAGGGTGAGGGCTGTTTGGGTGTCCCCATACTGGCACCCAGGGGGACCCCAAGGGTTCTGGGTGGCCTCCGCTCCATAGGTCACTTCCTAGGTGTGACCAGAGCCCATCCTGTGCTCTGGGGACATTCCAGACTGGCGGGATCCTGTGTTGGAATCGGGGATCCCTGGTGCGCTGGGTGTGACCCAATGGGGAGATCCCCATGAAAAGGGGACTCCCCGGTGTGACAGGACCCCTGTGTCCTGCGGCCCGGTTGGTGCTGCAGGTGTTGGCGTGGGAGCTGCTGGAGGGGGACACAGTGACACTGCGCTGCTGAGGCTGGTGGGAAATGTCGGTCACTGGAGTACAATTCTACCATGGGGACAAGGAGGTGGAGAGGTCCCTCTATGGGGCCGAGCTGTCCATGTCACCTCTGCAGCTGAACCACAGCGGTCACTACAGCTGCAGGGGCCAGGTGGACTCTGAAATGTCACCATGGGCACAGTTGGCACCAGTGACAGTGACAGTGCACGGTGAGCAACCCCATGGCTGGAACTCCAATCTCCTGACAACCCCAAAGCCACTTACCAGTGGACTCAGAGTGACAGTCCTCACCTCCCCTCTCCTTCCCAGAGCTCTTCTCGGTGCCGGTGCTGGAGGGTCCCTCCAAGCCCACCGAGGGTTCCTCCCTGAATCTCAGCTGCCTCAGCCCCCTGCAGCCCCGAGCCCCCCTCCTGCACATGTTCTACCAGGACGGGCAGGTGGTGGGGGGCCCGCAGGAGTCCCCACAGCTGCTGGTGCCCACCATGGGGGTCTCCCACGAGGGGAATTACAGCTGCCAGGTGCGCTCTGAGGGGGGGGGGGGGTGTGCGGAAGAGCAGCACCCAGCTCTGCGTCACGGTGCGCAGTGAGTGCGGGGATGGGCACGGGGAGCCCCCACAGCCTCCCCACCTCCCCCAGCCCTGCATGGGGACCCCCAGTCCTTCCTGACACCTGCCCTGTGGCCCCAACCTTTCCTGGATCCCTCCCTGGCTCCCCTCCTCCTTTCTCAGGTCCCTCCCTGGATCCCCCAGCCATACATGGGCACCCCCATCCTTCCCTGACACCTTTTCCGTGTCCTTCCATCGCTGACCCAGATTCCTCCCCAGGTCCTCCATTCCTGGCTCGTGTCGCCCCATCCCTCAAGAGGTCCTCTCATCCCTCCCTGGGTCCCTCCACCTCTCTCTGAGAGCCCTGCAAGTTCCCCAGGTCCCACCATTTCCTCTGTGACTCCCGGGGCCCCGTCCTTGGGTCGCCCCCCTCCCTCTCCAGGAGTCCCCTCCTTGAATTCCCCGTCCTCTGTGGGGTTCCTTTCCAAGCTCCCTCCAATCTCTGCGCCCCCTCTCCCTCACTAGGGTCCTCCTGCCACTCCCCAGTCCCCTCGGGTCCCTCACTGTCCCCTCCCATTTCTCCCCCTCCCACAGGGGTACCCAGTCGCAGGGGTGTCCCTGTCAGCACAGCCCCCCTGCGGACAGGTGGCCCTCGGGGACCGCCTGGTGCTGGGCAGCACAGTGGTTGTGGAGACAGGTCCCCTGTCCTTCTCCTGGCACCGGGAGGGCTTGGGGAGCACTGCTGGGCACCGGCCCCCACCTGGAGCTGTGCCATGTTGGGGACAATGACAGCGGCCAGTACCGGTGCCGGGTCAGTGACGGGGACAGCGTGGCCGAGAGTGACCCCCTGAATGTCACCGTCCTGGGTGAGTAGGATCCTCGGGCTGAGGGTGACCCCACCCACAGAACCCCCATCCCATCTCACCATGTGCCAGCCCTGTCTGTGTCCCCACAGTGCCCGTGGCCAATGCCACCATCACCCCTGGTCCCCTGTCACACCAGGTGCGTGCAGGTGACCCAGTGACCCTGCACTGCTCAGTGCAGGTGGGCTCAGCCCTGTCACCTTCACCTGGCTGCACAATGGGCAGGAGGTAGCCCAGGGGACATGATGTGGGACATTCAGGCACCTACCAGTGCGTGGCCACCAACCAGCTGGGACAGGATGGGCACCGCATGTTCCAGGCACTCAGCCTTGAGCTGGCCCTGGAGGTGACACCTCGCTCAGCCTGGGTCACAGGTGAGGTCACACGGGGTCACGAGGGTGTTCAGGACCCCCATGGTCCAGGGTCACCTCAGTGTTTCCCCTCTGTCCCCAGCAGTGGCTGTGAATGTCGGCAGGACCCTCCTTTTCCTGCTCCTGCTCCTGGCTGTCATTGGGGGCTGTCACTGGTGGCACCGCTGGGGTCGGTGACAATGAGGGGGGAGGATGGGGGTCCTGGAGTGAGGGGAAGCCCCAGAGTGGGGGCAGAGATCGGCAGCACCCAGAGCCCCTGAGCTGGGGGACACTGAGCCTGCAGTGACCTTTGGCTGGAGGTCTTGGGCATGTCAAGGGAATTTGGAGGGTCTGAGTTGGGCTCCAGGGTCATAGCTGGGTGGGCTTTGAGGAACATCAGGGTGGCACTGGGAGCTCCTGGAGGGTTTGGGGAGCTCCTGGAGGGCTGTGCAGGGATGTTGGAGGATCTTTTTGGGTCCTTGGTGGTTTGGAGGTGCCCCTCCCTGCCAGGCTTGGGGTTCTGGGGACAAAGAGGGTTGGAGGCACCAGGGGGACTGGGGACACTGTGATGATGCAGAAGTTCTGGGGGGATCAGGGGTGATCAGAGTGTCCAGGGTGAATCAGAGGTCCATTGGGAATCGGTTCTGCAGTGGTGATTTGGGGGTCCCATGGGTGGTTGGAGCTGCCAAGGTCCCAGGAAGGTTCAGGGGTCCCGGTATCCCCACAGTCACCCTTTCCCCTTTTCCTTGCAGTCACCAGAAAGCTCCAGGACAGGTGAGTGGGGGGCTCAGGCTGGGACTCCACTTTCCCCCTCCCCAGACACCACCCAGACCCCCCTTATCCCCACAGGACGTCCCCGTGGAGGGGGAAGTGCTGGACCCCCATGTTGTGGACACCGAGTGGGCAGGGCATGAGTACAGTGGGTTACACTGGGACATGTCACCCACGGGTGTCACCCTCCACCCAGGTCCCCACAACTGGTGTCACTCTCAGGGCCCCCACGGGTGGCCCCTAGCCCTGCCCCACCTTAGGATCCACAAGTGACCAACGCAGAGCTGTTGGGACCCTACGAGGGACAGCGGGACCCCCATGATTTTGAGAATGTGCTGTGACACTGGGGGGCACTGGGGGCACTGAGGGCATCACTACCCCTAAAGGGTACTTTCTTCTTCACATCACCGCATGGGACTCCTCATTCCCTCTCCCAGTGCCAGTGAAACACATGACATTTTTCCCTCTTATTGTATCCAAAATGATGCTTTTTTGATTAAACTGTGTGAGAAACAAGGCTCACTCTTAAAAATTTTTAAATGTTTAATAATGAATAAAAGGGACAGTAAACAGCGTGCTGGGTGCTTGGCAACTTCTAGAGGCACTCAGTTAACTACAACAATTCGTCTTATATACCTTTTCATTGTATTGGTTAAATACATACTCAGGAGGCTTATACATATTCAAACATTCTTTCCAGTTCACATGTTCTGAAATATCTTTAGCTTGGTTTGACCCTTGATTCATTGTCATAAAGTACATGCACTTCTGCAGATTAAATTTATATATTTTATGTTCTCACAAGGTCCCCCCCATTCTGTGGTCTGACAGTTCTTGATAACTGAAGGGTCAGTGGTAAACTCTTCTTTGCATTCTTTCTTTTGATGTTTATTTACTTGCTACTTTTCAATGTTTTCTTCTCATACAGATGAGATACTCCACCAGTACATTAAATCAACATTAGCTATTTCACAAAATTCGTTACTCTCACCATTGTCACTTAGTTACACAAATAAAGGCATAAGCTACTTCTGCAACAGTTAAGGTTGTAATACACAGCACATTGTCTCTATCTTGATACTTTGAGAGAGTCTAAACAATAATATATTTATTACACTAAATTATATATTCTACACAGGGATTAGGGTAAAAGGCTGACAAATTGTTGCATTGCACTAAATAGTTTATTTAGTAGTTGTTCTGCACTGGGTAACGGGAATTTTGTACTAAGTGTGGTATGTCATGTAGATTATTCCCCCTTCCTCATCACATGGTTTCTCCCCATGCACTCCTTTCTACACGCCTGGTGGTCTGCCCCATGGATAACCCTCCCCTCGCCCCTCCCCAATGGCATCCCATTGGCCACGATCCTCTTTCCCCAAACCTTTACGTGCAGTGGGGTTTTATCCCCCTTTCCCTGGGGGATAAAACCCCACTGCACGTAAAGGTTTGGCCTTGTCCCAGCCAGCCAAGTTCCCAAGTGGGGTGAGGATTCCCCGTGCGTCTTAGGGGGACCCCGGGGGGGGCCCTCAGAGGGTGAGGGTTAGCTCCCGGTGCAGGAAAAACTCCGGTCCTGAAGACGGTTTGCGTTTTCCTCGCGGCAGCGCGGGCGGGGCGGCTCTGGCGCTCCGGCGGTCCCTGTGCGCTGTTTCGGGGCTTGCGTGGTTCCAGCGGCATGTTCCCGCGGCGCGCAGGCCCCAGGGAAGGGCGGCACCATGGCGGGCGGCGCGATTTCGCGGCGCGGGCGGGTTTCGCGCTAAACAGGTGCTGAGCGCGGGTTCCGGCGCTGCAGCAGCGCGGGCGGAGGCAGAGTGCGCTTTGTCTTTTTACCAGGAGCGGACGTGCCTGGGCAGCGGCAGGACCAGTCAGGCGGCGCGGACCCACTCCAGGCGCCCACGCGGCATCCACGTGGTGGGGGGGTGCCGGCAGCTGTTGTTCGGCGTTTTAAAAGCCGCGCCGTCTTACGCAAGCAGCTTGTTTCGCCCCCGGGGAGAAGGGGCGGGGAAGAGGCTGCCCGGATTTTCCCGGATTGGCTGTAGACTCAGTGCTTTCGGTTTTGTTTGTGCTCACTGTAAAGAAGGTAGATTTACGTGTTGCAGGAAGCAGATATGGGTGCGAAGTGCTAAGTTTTCTGCGGCACAGAGGAGCGTCTGTACCCTAATTTTAGAAACCCTAAGAAGTGGAAACGTTATGGTTTCCAAAGCAGTTTTGAAATGGTTTGTTCGCTGGATATCTTTTCATTTCCCTCAGTTTACCCAGCAGAATGTTAATTCTGTCTCTGCCTGGGATAAAATTGGAGCCTTGTTAACAGCTAAAGTGGAACAGGGAGATGGGACGGTGTCTCAATTTTTCCCTGTGTTCCCGGTGATTCGAAAAGAAGTGCTAAAGAGGATTTGAAAGGACAGCCAGGGCAAATCTCCCCTCCTGCGGCTTCTCCTACCCCTCTCCCAAAACCCTCTGCCCCTGAACTGAGAGAGATAAGCAAAGCTTCCTGGTAATTTCAGGGTACCTGGCACTACAACTCCTCCCCTGGACCCCCACCTCTCTCCCAGTACCCTGGCAGTTGTGCGCAGGCTGACAGAGCACCTTCCCTGCACCCCTCTAACCTAGTTCCTGTTACCCCGAAGTCCAGTTCTAACCCCCCGCCCCCCCCATTCCCAAAATGGCTGCGACCACATGGTTGGCATTCATGATCCTGGTAACTGCATGGCCGGAGCCCAAAATGGCGGAATCCACGTGTTTCAGCCCTCTCCCTACTCTTCTTCTCCCCACAATCCCTTTCGCCCACCTATCGCCTCCCCCAACCCCTTCCGGTCCCACAACCCCTTCCTTCCCTTGGACGCTCCTCCCCCTCCCTTCATGTCCCTGCCCCCCATTACATCATCCTGTAACCCCGCCCCTGGTTCCCATGGTTGCCCCGCCCCCTTGCCTGTTCCCCACGCCCCTTGCCCGGGTCCCAAGAGGGTGGGGCCGAGGGCTGGGGTCAAGGGCTGGGGGCTGGGGTCAAGGGCTGGGGGGTGGGGCCGAGGGCTGGGGGCGTGGGCCCCTGCCCGGTTCCCACGGGGGTCGCGCAGGGGGAGGGGATGTCCCTCCTCCCAGTTACCATGGCACTGGGGTTGGGGGGGGGGGGGGGCAGAGGCAGGGGGTGTATCCCCTCCCACTCTCCATGGGGGTAGGGTGAAGGGTGTTTCCCTGCCTGCTTCCCATGGCAGTGCGGCTGGGTGAGGGGGTGGTCCCCTTCCCTGTTCCCAAGGCAGTGGGGCTGAGGGAGGGGGTGGTCCCCCTGCCGGGTCCCACAGGGGTGAGGCTGAAGGTAGAAATCCTGGAGTCCAAAACAGGGAGGAAGAAGTCATCCCCTTGGTAGCCCCTGTTCAATACACAGGTGGTAGGGCTGGTCCTAGATCCTACCAGCCCTTCTCATATCACTCAAAGCGTGAGTTATGTAAAAGTCAATTAGAATTTGGGAGAAATAGTGAAATTTTTAGAAGCGTGATGAGAGCTACATTAACATCCCTTGAATTTGTTCCTGCTGACATTGTAGACCTTTTCCAGTGCCTGCTTACCCGGTCAGAGTTCGATCTATGGGAAAGCTCCTGGAAGAGATCTCTCAGAGATCTCGTAGAAGAACTTAAGCACACCCCTCAGGGTGCCAAAGATTTAGAGAATAGTAACATTACTTATGAACATCTGTGTGGTGAGGGGGAGTGGGCTAAGCCTGAGGACCAAGCTTGGGTGTTGTCCAAATTCATTCTAGATAAGATTTCATATGCTGCAGATAAGGCTTTTAACCAGCTACCAACTGCTGAAGCTAGTGGTAGTTTCCTTGACATTAAACAGTCTCCTTCAGAAAGTTTCTTGCAGTTTGTTGACCGGCTCCGTGCACAGGTTGAGAGACAAGTACTGGATCCCAAGACACAGATGGAGATAGTGAAAGAGATGGCACAGAGGAATGCCAATGAAGTCTGCAGCAGGGTGCTCCTGGGACTGCCTCTCAACCCCCCACCTACACTGGCAGAGATGATGGAAGCCTGTGCTAGGAAGGCGGAAATTTTTGCTGCACGGGAGGTGTGGTCAAGGCTGACAAACCCAGAGATGGTGGCAGCTGTATCTCCAGGAGTGAGGAGGCAACAGATGTCACCAGAACAACTTCAACATGTCATTTGCTTCATATGCAAAAAACCAGGACACTTTGCCCAGGACTGCCCCCAAACCCAGCAACAAAAGACACCCTTCACACCAAAAAACCCTGATGCTAGTGCCCACCCTGGCACCACGACATAAATGCAGCGGGCTTCCCTGAAGGGGAAACCTCCCTCAAAAGAGAACAGGGGGAGGAAGGGTAGCGTGGTGCGGGAACACAAAATAACCATTTACAGGATAAAATCTGGTGGTCTAACAAGCGTTTCAAGCTTGTGACCACCAAAGCTTTTGCTTTCAGGTCTACCCAGTGGATGGTCCTTGGAGTGGACCTGCCAGAGGACTTGCAGAGCTTGACAAAAGATTGCACAAGATTGGACTGTGAGTACTTTGTTATTGCAGATACTGCACACACACTCATGGAGATTGAGGTGGCTCCCATGACCATCAAAGGGGACATAGCTAACCTCATTCTCCTGGTGCCCTGTCCACAGCCACCCTTCTTTTTGGCCAAGGGGCAAATCATCGCCCAGGCCATTCCTGTTCCAGCAGAAATTTCAGTAGATGATAAGGCACCAGGTGTATACTGGGCAGAAGTGGTTGGCGAGGACAAACCCATTATGGGATGCAACCTAATGCGTGGAACAGAACATTTCCATGTGGAAGGGTTGCTTGACACAGGGGCAGATGTGACAATCATACCTGAAAGGTTGTGGCCGTCACATTGGGATTTGCAGCTCGTGGCTGGTCAAATCCAAGGTGTAGGAGGATTCACATTGGCAAAGATATCAAAGAGCATTGTGCAAATTGAGGGACCAGATGGAAAATTTGCCAGTGTCCGCCCATTTGTTACTAATTACAAAGCTCCCTTGTGGGTAGAGACACCATGTCCCAGTGGGAGGTCAAATTGGTCATCCCTAAAACACCCCAGGATGTTTAGAAGCGGCCACTGTCAAGCGCCTCGCCCACAAGGTAACGTGGCTGAAAAATGACCCAGTCTGGTAACTTCCCCAAAACAACGAATTTGAAAGGCAGCTCGGGCTTATAACGATGAGCCTGCCTCTTGGCCAAAGCCTTCTGCACTTTTTGGAGGGTGGTTTTTGCCTCTGGGGTCACTTCCCTGGGAGAGGCTAGCTCTCTCTTTCCCTTCAGTAGATTGAGAAGGGGAGCTAGGTCCCTGTTGGTGAGACCCAGCCAAGGCCTG